TACTTAGAATATAAGAGGATGCAGAGGTTAGAAAAACAAAAATTAAAGTTGGAAAATTTCTTTAAATCTGGAAAAGGAAACCAAAAGAGACTGTAAATACTCATCTGTGTTTCTGAAATGTTTTCAGGTAGCTCCCAGTAGAACTTTCAATGAGATGTTTATTCCAAAACCAAAGTAAAAGTTGACAGCAAATTGAGTGCTTGCCTCAAAGGGCACAGAAATAAAACATGAAAGAGGATGACAGACGTCAATCTAACAGTGACAACTATAACAATGTAGACACAATACATTTCCCTATTATAAAGCAAATCATTCATTGAAAGTTCTGTTAAATATACATTTTAATGATCTATTGTTTATGAGAGACATATTCAATAAATATTTTGGAGTATTTGCCATGTTTCGGGCACATCATTTACCATAACCAACACTGGTGGAGCCTAATTTACCTAATTTTATGCACTGTAAACCTAATTTACTGGCCTGGGCAACATAGCAAGACCCCATCTCTACATAAAAATAAAAATTAAAAGATTAGCTGGGTGTGGTTCTGTGCACCTGTAGTCGCAGCTACTCGGGAGGGAGGATTGCTTGAACCCGGGAGTTCAAGCCTGCAGTGAGCTATGATCCCGCCACTGCCCTCCAGCCTGGACTAGAGTGAGACCTTGTCTCTAAAATATACACGTATATATCCACCACCTAGAGTTTCCTTCCGGAATGCCCTGAGCATTTTCAAACCTAGCCCAGGAATTCCAGCCTTGACATCTCTGGGCTGGAGCGGAAGCCATGATGATAGGATCCGGAAGGCTTAGCTTTCAAATCCCCTGCTCCAGGGATGCTGGTCTGCCTGGAGAGATGACTGGTTAACGCCTTGGACAAACATGAAGATGCCAACAAGGCATTCTTCTTCCCTGGATCCAACATCATCTTAAAATCACAGAATGCCGGTTGGGAAGGACCTAAGAAATAACTGAGCCAAGTTCCTGTATGTTCTTTTATATTAATAATATGACAGAAGTGCCTGAGGGCCTGCAATGTCGGGTACTACTACGTCATACTATACTGGGTACTCCACCTGTGCAAGCATCCACTCAGCCTTTACCATAGGATGCTGAGGTTGGCTGCAGGATGTCTCCTACTTGTTCCTCTACAACACTCTTTTTTTTTTTTTTCTTTAACATGAAGTCTTGCTCTATCGCCCAGGCTGGAGTGCAGCGGCACAATCTCGGCTCACTGCAACCTCCACCTCCCGGGTTCAAGCGATTCTCCTGCCTCAGCCTCCCAACTAGCTGGGATTACAGGCACACGCCAGCATACCTGGCTAATTTTTGTATTTTTAGTAGAGACAGGGTTTCCCCATGTTGGCCAGGCAGGTCCCAAACTCCTGACCTCTGGTGATCCGCCCACCTTTGCCTCTCAAAGTGTTGAGATTACAGGTGTGAGCCACCAGCCCAGCCTCCTCTACACCACTCTCCACCCTTCTTTGGATTCTCCGCCCAGGAGGCTGCGTCCTTGGCTCTGTTGCCGTCTGCTGAAGTGATCAGCCCCCCAGAGCTCCCTTCTCCAGGTAACTCCTCTCTCGTCTGCTCCTTCAGGCCTTGGGTGGGAACAAAACCACTTCTCACTCTTTGCTAGTCTTCGTTAATGGCATAAGCGCTTCTGGTTTCTCTACATCATCCCCACACCTTTGTAAAAAGTCTGTTTCTCAAACTCTTCTCAAATTACTGTTTCCTACTGGGACCCTGACTCATACAGGTAGGTAGTGATGTCCCCATTTTATGGATGAGTAAACTGAGGTGGAGAGAGGTGAAGAAAGTTGTCCAAGGTCTGAAAGGAACATTCCTGGGATTCAAATCTGGACTCACTCACGTCAGAGGTTTGCTGTTACCGTTATTCCTGTACCTTTGTTGAAACTGGGGGGTGGGGGGGGACAGGCTGATACCATAGCCTTTGTTTCCTTAAAAGAGGAAGATGCAGGAGATACAAGAAGGGCCACTGGAACTGCCCCACAGGTTTTTGTGGGCTGGAGTCAACCCTCAGGAGCAATTGAGGTAGGTGGCAAATATTTGCTCAAAAGAGGCAGCTGAATTGCATGGATAAATGCAGAGGCCATGTCCTGTAGTCCCTAAGCAACTTCCCTGTAGAGATGAGGAAGCCAGTGGAAAGGTGGGTGGCACGGCCTTCCCCAGAGCCCCCGCCTCTGCTAAGTGGTGGGTCTACTTACGGATCTAGACCCACCTGAAGCCAAAGAAAGCCCTGGCACTTCAAAGCACCCACTTGGCAGCTGGCAACTGTCTACACTGTGTGTGGACTCACATACTTTGGGAGCCATTTGAGCCCAGCACCTTCTGATGATGATGACGATCATGAGGATGGTGTCATGGGGACACCAGCACATTCTCTAAGCCAAG